AAAAAAAAAAAAAAAAAAAAAAAAAAAAAAAAAAAAAAAAAAAAAAAAACAACAACAACAACAGAGAAACTAAACTAATGTTTTAAAATGTGTCATCCCAAGAAAGAAACTTGCATAATTTGGGGTTTGGTGGGAAAGGGGATGAGGTAAGAAAATCCGTGTGGTTGGTTAAGTGTGGAGCAAAACAGGAATGGCATCTCTTCGTCTTGAAGGAGTCATCCCTGTCTTAGAGAACATTGTTTGGTTGGGGACGAGAAAAACCAGCTAAGGATGTTCAAACGCATGACTAAACTAGGCATGTTTTGTGTAACTTTTTAAGAAAAATTCATCACTACTTCACACATATATATTCCCACCCGCCAATAAGTGGGAGAGGCACCACCACCTCACCGCTTAATCCACGAAGCAGATAGAAATGAAGTATCATGTCAAAATCCAATCGTTTATCCAAAGAACAATTGAAGGATTTCTTCTTATTCACCAAGGGGAAGTAGGAGTTCTACCAGCAACGCCTGTTGTGGTTGACCCATCATCATCTCGCGTCGCGTCCTCTCTCGGATTGGGAGGCTGAAACATACCTCATACAATCCCTAGAACAAATAATGGAATGGTAATCTAATGACGACTATACTAGAAAACATTGGCTCCTACAATATTCACGCCATGGAAGAGGCCAGATGAAGGAAATGGTGCAAATAATTGCTGCGACGTTAGTTGTTTTCAGACTTGGAAACAGATAGAGGCGTTTTAGATCTTGAGATGAAGAAAATAGTTGATTCAGATATGAAACAATTCAAATCTGGAGANTTTTTTTTTTACACTTGACTTTTTTTTTTTTTTTTTTTTTTTTTTTTTTTTTTTTTTTTTTTTTTTTTTTTGGTAGGTTAAATTATTCCTACGTTTAAAATTGAATTACTGAATTGAGTAAAGATGTACCAATTATTTCCCCCCAAAAATAATACCACACCTAAAATAATTTGTATGAGATGGCTATTTTATGAATTGAGATGCAAAATTTCGAATTATAATACTCCAATTGCTTAATAGAGATTTACCCTTTTCTCAATTATCTAACTTGTGCTCAACTATTATACCAAGAGGACTCTTACTACTCCTTAGCTACCTTTTCTCTACTTCATCCCCAATCCATAATGCTACATTAGAATTCTATCCTGATCTAAACGTCGCACTCTCTGATTGGTAGGATTATAACAAAAGGCCTAAATCAACATTTACTTGAATCTATTGTTAGTGTTACTTCATTTACTAGTTAGACAAACGTGAAACTTCTAACTAGTTATAGACACCCTTCTACCTTCCAAGACGCTCTATAATAGTCTTCCCTCTTTCTCGCTATCTCCATTCTAGCATTGTGCTCTCCTCTCTTTAGAAGGTTTAAATTCATAAGAACACGAAATTCTTTGGTTGACAAGGTTTGATGGGAGACTGAACACTCAGAATTGTCTCCAAGGACTCTTCTTTTGTTTTGCAGCCACAATGGTGGGTTCTTTGCAAGAAGTAAAAGGACCTCAATAATCTTATGTGAGATTGCTCGTTTGTTTTCCATCTTTGGAGTCAATTTTTCCAAGACCTTCGGGTTTGATTTGGCTCATAATAGAGCGAAGAAGTGCACCTAAACCCTTCTTTCCACGACTAAGAGTTTTGTGGAAAAGTTTTTTCCTCCATTACATGAGACATTTGACTTGAGAGGAATACTAGGAACTTTAGAGTGTTTGAGAAGTCTAGGAGGATCTTTGGGATTGGTTAGATTTAACTTGTCTTTATGAACGTTTGATGATCAAACTTCTTGTCATTACCAACTTGGTCTCTATTTTATTTATTTATTTATTTAAGGTCCATTGATCTAATTAGCTTTGGAGTTGTTGGTGGGTTTGTGTTTTAGCATACTTGTGTACATTCTTTCATTTATCATAATAAAAACCCAGTTTCTAATAAAAGAACGAAAAAAAAAAAAAGAATCAATCGATATATGCATAATCAATTTACTAACTATTAATGCCAAAAAAGTTAATAATCGTGAAGCCACCCAAGACAATCGTTATTCACATGATCAGAAGCTAAAAGACATGAAAGATAAACTGGATCCACCTAGAAAACCATTGCTTCACCTAATGACACAAAATAATCTTATTTTACTACCTAGTTTGAAAACCCATCATTTTTATTATTTAAAAATATATAAAACAAAAAGATTTTATACACACATATACAGCTATTACCTCCATATCCTCCACAAGTTCCGAAGATTCCTTTAAATTGTAGATGCAAAGATGCTTCCATCACATTTATGGGCGATAAATAGGTTCTAATCAAATGGCCATGCTTCACTTAGACCACGCCTGAAAGTGAGGGAAGAGAGAGATACAACGAATATTCAGTGAGAAATCTAAAGCTCAAAAAAAAAAAAAAAAAAAAA